CTTAACTGCCCCCCCTGCTGGCCTGGTCCCCCCTTACTGCCCCACCTGCCAGCCTGATTGCCCCCAACTGCCCCCCCCCGCTGGTCTGGTTGCCACTAACTGCCCCCCGGCCGGCCTGGTCACCACTTACTGCCCCCCATGCCAGCCTGGTTGCCCCCAACTGCACCCCTCTGCCAGCCTGGTTGCCCCTCACTACCCCCCTCTGCTGGCCTGGTCGCCCCTCACTGCCCCAGCCCCTGCCGGCTTGGTCGCCCCTCACTACCCCCCTCTGCCGGCCTGGTCGCCCCTCACTGCCAACCCTGCCAGCCTGGTTCCTGTCAACTGCGCCCCCTGCCGGCCTGGTCACCCCTCACTGCCCCCTCTGCCGGCCTGGTCGCCCCTCACTAAACCCCCTGCCGGCCTGGCCACCCCACACAGCCTGCTGCTCAGTTGTTTGGTCGTGATGGCCCCTGGCTCTTTATATATATAGATAGCATTATACAATTCTGCTTTACTTCAATGGAAATTTCCTTCTACTCATTACACATCTTTTTGGTCACTATAAGAAGCCCAAGAGTTGATTGGCTATGAGTACAACTTCTCACACACAAAGCAAAATTAAATCAACATTATGGGAATACTTAGAAGAGAAGCAAAACAAAAATAGAAGTAGAACATTTACCTATTTCCTCTACTTACCCCTCATTACAAGAGTAGTTAGCCTGTGTACCAAGCTGAAAAGTTCCTTCTACGTGGCCATTTAGGGGCTCTGCTGGTTGTAGACATGATTTTCCTGAAAGAAAAATGTAATAGTTGTTGTTTGATACAAACTCCAAAACAGATCTGAATCAAAACCAAAATTCCACATTGCTCTATTGTGAGAATAGTATTTTTCTTTCTTTAACTATTAAAAGGCCAAACTTAAGATTCACATTTACCCAGACAACCAACAAGAAAAATACATGACTATCTAAAACCTACATCCACATGAGAAAACCATCATTGTAGTAGCAGAATATGCCGTCTAAAATGTATGAAAATCTTTAGAGCAATAAAAGTAAAAAGTCTTGTGTACTTACTTGTACAGGCCTCCTGGAGAGGAGGTGCCCACGTGCCATCAGGCTGACAAACAGTGGTGGTGGGACGAACAAGAGGAACAATAAGCCTGAATCCTGGGCGACACTCATATTCTACTTCGAACCCAGAACTTACAGGGGGCTGAGGATTACCCTTGGCTTTCATAGATTCATATCTTGGTATCTCATCACAGGCATCTGGGCATGAGAGAATAAGACATGAAAGTCAAGTATTTTCTCCTTTTCACCAGCCACGGATTCTGGCCTGGCAGCCCGCAGGTCCTTGGTGAGCTTATGGTTTCTTAGTGAATAAGGCGAATATTCATTCAACAGTAAATTAAAGAGACAGCAGCAATATTTTTGGTTTTAAAATGTACTTACTGGTGTGCGTCCTTCCCCAGTTTTTCTCATTTCATTTCACACTCACCTGTCCCCTAGGACAGTGGTCGGCAAACTCATTAGTCAACAGAGCCAAATATCAACAGTACAACGATTGAAATTTCTTTTGGGAGCCAAATTTTTAAACTTAAACTATATAGGTAGGTACA